ATCCTGGCCATGAAAATAATGCAACACGAATAAAAGGGCGATAGAAGATATACGTAAAGAACAATCCAACGAACCAGCAAATTAAAATAACAAACAATAGAACAGGAAAATACTGAAGAAACATTTGAATCCAATAAACCGAGAAAACCAGAAAATTACTAAAAAGACAAAACGAACAAACGAGAAAGAAAAGACGAGAGGTAAGCAGAAAAACATGAAAATATAAACCACGTAAAATCAAACGCATAGAACAAACGAATAACGAACGAAAAAATTCTTTACAGAAAAGCTATGGACATGACAAGAACAAGCTGGAAAGTCATAAAAAAGGAAAAATCACGTAAAGAACCAGGTAAACAGATGTGAGAATACAAGACCGGAGTGGTCAAGGCAAAGGCGTAGACACGATACCAAAGAAATAAAACAGGCGGACACCAAAAATTATTGATATTATTAATTACAGACTCATGATACAATCCTGGCTACTAAAATAATGCAACATGAATAAAAGAGCGATAGAAGATATACGCAAAGAACAATCCAACGAACCAGCAAATTAAAACAACAGACAATAAAACGGGAAAATACTGAGGAAACAATTGAACCCAATACTAATGGCCAGACAATAATCTAAGAAAACCAGAAAATTATATAAAAAAAAGGTAAGACGAACAAATGAGAAAGAAAAGACGAAAAGTAGGAAGAAAACATGAAAAATATAAACCACGTAAAATCAAACGCATAGAACAAACGAATAACGAACGGAAAAATTCTTCACAGAAAAACCAGGAACACGACGAGAGTTGTAAAGTCTTAAAAAAGGGAAAAGTCACGTAGAGGTTTGCGCAAACAGACCTGGAAAACATGAGGTAGGAACGGTTAAAGCAATGGCGTAGTCACCACCTCAAAAAATAAAACGGACAAATACTAAAAAATTAATACCAAACCAAAAACCATACAGAATAAACCATGCAAAGAAGCTACCGTCTAACCAAATAGCTCTAAGACGCAACTAGAACACGGATGCACAGTATATGCAGCACTTTATAAGAAATTAAAAGATGAGTTCCTCTACAAACCATGTAAAAAGTCAAAACAAATAAATGAAAAAGAGACGAGAGATGGGTAAAACATATAAAGATCGAAAAACCGCTTAAAACTAAAAATGTATAGAAT